TGACATAGAACCAGAAAAAAAAGCATGTTGTTTACTTAAAGTTCAAGGCAAGTTAATGAATTTCAGATATAATCAAATATCAAATGAAGGATAAATGCAACTGTACTCAAAATAATTATCAAAGCAATTCACAATGAATAAAGATTGACAAGTTCTTCTCCAAAGATCTACAGATTCAGAAAGAGAAGTTAAATGAAAGGTGATTACCCGAGGTATTGGTTTAGCTGTCAGAATGCCAAAACATCGGGTAGTGTCCTCCGGTGGGTACAGCTTCCTCCGCCGGAAGTTGAGCTCATCAGGAAGAGGGGTGGTGAGGACCATCCCTATTACGTAAAGATAGCAAGGCTGTTCTGGCACAGGGTAACAACCCCGCAGACACTCTGGTATCTACAAGACAGCATATCCAACATGACTGTATACCTTCTACACATTGTACTTAAAAATAAATAAATAAATAAAATAAAATAAAAAAGAATCCTTGATTCAGCGAGGACGAATTAAATTGATCAAACGATGACCGTAAAGATGTTAAAATTATGTGCTATAATAATATTTCACAATATTAGTTTCACTGTATTTCTGGTCAAATACATGCAATAAGTGCATAAAAGACACTTACCAACCCCAAACTATGGTGGTACCAAAAAACCATGAATACTGACAGACTTTATAAAGGTATTTCGGGTTCATGACACTTACGGCTTTTGGGTAACACTGTCTCCGTTTGGTGGAGCCTGGTCTTCCTGGCACGTTCGTCTCCTCCTCATCATGCAGGTCCAGCTCCTCCTCATACTTCACAGTTTCCTTTCCCACTGGCATCAAATGATCATCCAGTTCACCTAGAAAGAAATATCTCACATCAGTGAGTGCATCTCTGTCCCACAATGCATCAGAAATTGCATATATTTAGACTTTTTCATGCTCACCAATTTTGTGCAGCTTTTCACAACAGAGAAGAGCAACAGCTTTCTCAGCAAGTCTTGCACAATTCATTGTTGGCCCCTAAAGGGATGAAGAAACATTTAGAAGACTTTTTACTTTCAATCAGGGATTTTTTTTAGAAAAATTGCACACATTTTTGCACATTTTTCATCCTCCTGTCCTTCAAAATCTGTATGACTTTGTTCCATGGAACACAAAATACTTATAACAGAACGTTCAAACTATTCTGTTTCATACAATGAAAGTGTATGGTGACCATTGCTGCCATGGATGTTCAAGGAAAGATTGTCAGTGAAAACCTTAAATTTCAGTCTGTGTCTAACAGGAAGAATCATATGGCCATAAATTACTTTTCATTTAGACAACTTTTCTGGAGCTTTTTTCTTATTTTGGAGTTTGACAGCTCATGGTTTCCATCCACTTTCATCGTATGGAAAAAAGCAGCGTGAACATTCTTCAAAACATCTCCTTTTGTGTTCCATGGAAGAAAGTCAGTCTAACAGGTTTGGAATAACACAAGGGTGAGGAAAATCTGACAGTCTGGCTAAACTCTCCATTTAACTCCTAGCAAAGAAGAGTGAATGTCAGAATATTTAGAAAAATATCAAATATATTTGGGCAAGAACTCACGGTGACAGGAACTCTGAGTGGTGAGTTAATGGGTAGGAAGAGTGTGGACTGATAACCTCCAGTCTTAAGCTCCACAGTTTTACACTTTGGAGCAAGATGAGTGAACGGATCACTGGGCAAGCGAGCACAATATCTGTACAACACACAAAAGCATTTAAGAATGACATTAATAAAAAATATAAAATATAGCAATCTTTGATTTAGAAAAGGAAATTGACCTGTTGATGTGCCCAATGGCTGTGTTAATCGTGACACGGGGGCCGCCGTCCTCTGAGCGTAGGACGTAAGGTGGTAAAACGTTGTCATCATCGGTCGCTGGCTCCAGTTCAAAATCACTGCATTCTGCTGACTTCGAGCACTTATTTCGGAGGATCTAAAAGACGTACAACTATTAGAATGACACATCTTAACGTACACACAACCTCTTTCTGGAAATCTCATTAAACCTGCTGACCTTCTCTATGGCCTTGTAGGTCTTGAGGTCTTCCTCAAATGTGTTTGTCCGTTCGCTGTCAGCTAGCATGATGTAATTGGAGACTGGAGCCCGGGCGCGACCTTTGGATTGCACATACGACCGGTACTCTGTTGGCAGGTCAAACCGAACGACCAAATTGCACTTTGGAATATCAACGCCTTCTTCCACAATGCTGGTTGCAATGAGCAAGTTGGTTTCATGGGCTCTGAACTTCCTCAGGACCTGGACAGTAATGTGAATCAGCAAAAACAATTATGATCAGCACAAGCTAAGGAAGTTGCACAAGAGACTTTCTAGGAATGCTGAACTCGCTCACCTCCTCTTGTTTTCTGAACTCCACCTCCATTTGTTTGTTGCGAGGCTGGTTCTTGCCAATGCTGTGACCTGTGATGAAGTTGCTACTGATGTAGGCCAGCTCTGGGTCCTGCTTCCCTCCCTCCTTGATAAGTCTGATACACACAAATAATACAAGGTGCATTCAAGTACCTTTGGATAATTTAAAAGTATATTTCACATCAGTGGTTCAACCAATTTTATGAAGCTATCAGAATGCTTTTTGTGCGCAAATAAAACAAAAATAACGACTTTATTCAACAATTTCTTCTCTTCCATGTCAGTCGAACCACTGATGTCACATGGACTATTTTATCGATGTCCTTACTACCTTTTCTGGCCCTTGAACACAGTAATTACATTGCTGTCTATGCAGGGTCAGAAAGCTCATGGATTTCATCAAAAATATCTTAATTTGTGTTCCGAAGATGAACAAAGGTCTTACGGGTTTGGAACAACATGAGGGTGAGCAATTAATGACAGAATTTTCTAATTATTTAAAACTATCCCTTTAAATATGCAAGATTCGGGTGATCAAGTTTTTTTATTTTTTAAAGAAATCAATACTGTTATTCAACAAGGACACATTAAATTGAGCAAAAGTGACAATAAAGACATTTAAAACATTACAAAATATTTCTATTTCATATAAATGCCGTTCTTTTGAACATTCTGATCAAAGAATCTTGAAAAAATGTATCATGGTTTCCACAAAAATATTACACGGCACATTACACGGCACAACTGTTTTCAATATTGATAATAACAAATGTTTCTTGAGCTCCAAATCAGCATATTAGAATGATTTCTGAAGGGTCATGTGACACTGAAGACTGGAGTAATGACTGCTAAAAATTCAGCTTGGCCAACACAGGAATAAATTAGATTTTAAAATATATTAAAATAGAAAGCAGCTATTTTAAATTGTTATAATATTTCACAATATTACAGTTTTTACTGTATTTTGCTCAAATAGTTTCGTAGCAATCAAATTAGGGATGCACCGATATGAAAATTTTGGCCGATACCGATATAAACCCAAAGAATTCACAACGTTTTATTATAATAATGTTCTCATTAGAATGTTATATACACGACATTCCCAATCATAGTTATTAATGTTGTGCACTGCTGTTTGAGCTGCATGCGCTGAGCTAAAGATGATCACCGGTAAACTGAAGCGCTCTTTTAATTTAACCAAATGCATTCTATATGAGATAAATCAGATATACATCAAATAAACACAATATTACATCGTACAATTGCACAAAAGGCTGCAAACGAACAGCGCGCATCTGAAGTGTCTCTGAAGGAAATAATGCATTATTTATCGGCTTTAAGATATCGGACAAATTTTCTTATCGGGCCGATACCGATAACAGAAAAAATGAGCATTTATCGGCCGATACCGATATATCGTGCATCCCTAAATCAAATCCTTTTTATACATTTAGATTACCTTTGCCTTTAATATTCAGTTACTATTTAAAAACACTAATAATTAAAAAATACTGTTAATTGTTATCTATAGTGAATCACAAAATAAATATCCATTTTTCATACTGTACATTATAATAATGTGATTCCTAATAGGGTTGGGCGATGTCTACAAAATTGGCATCGGACGATGTCTACAATGAAACATCGCGATGAACGATGATGAAATCATTCGCAATGACGATGGCGAATGATTTGCAGATCCTCAGCACCACTGACAAACATCTAATCTTGCAAAATGTGTGGTAAGTACTGCCACTCCATAGTACATGTGATCACGAATCTCGAAAGTGAAAGTGAAACTAAAAAGCAATCGTGCATTCAAAAGCAGTTTCAATGCCAGGCATAATAGCGGATCCCTGATGCCCGCAATTTATATACAGTATAGTTACCCATTGATATAACTGCGAGAGAAATTTATAAAATATGTATTTTCCTCCCATCTCATATTTATTCCCTTTAGGGGTTCCGTATGCACGTCATTTTCTTTCCAAACATGGTATTGGGATGCGGCGGATTGGGGGGTATGGGGGTCACGATGTCGGCTCAACATCGTGATGTCTATCAGCCATCGGCGATGGACAATGGCATCGTCTATCAGTCCAATCCTAATTCCTAAATTCATTTTTTGCATTGAAAATTACTGATTTTAGTTTTAGTACATTTATTATTTGTATAGAATTTCCAAGAAACACAGTGAAGCACTGCAAACAAACCTGTTTAAAACAACTGCAGTATAACGCCTTTCCACGAAGACGATTCCACAGAGGATGTTGGTAAAAGGTGACGGAAAATTAGCTTCGGGCTTTTCCTTTGCCTCTGCCTCTTCCTCCTCATCTTCGTCCTCAGAATCGCTCCAAGAAACATAATTGTCCTGATTGCGATTATTGTACCACTCCACACTCTCAAACTGCTGCCGTTCGAAAGGCTTGTACTCGTGGAGAATCTCCAGAAGTTTGATGACCTTGGGAGTGACAAACTTCAGGTCTAGGGAAGCTGGGGAGAAATGCTCCTCACATAAGGCGTGGATTTTTCTCAGAATGGTGTCTGTGAACAATAGGAACTTGCGGTTCAGCTCTTCCTGTTCATGTTTGATATATTTCTGCAGCTCCCGGACCATGATTCCTGCAGCTTTATCGGCGCACCAAGGGCCCAACACAGTCAACACGGCGCGGCAGTCATTCAGCACCTTGTGATAAACAATCACACAATCAGAACACAGTGATTTGAAATCACAACAGGACGTTCCTGTCAAGGGTATTGTTGCTTTAAAATAAGACCCTAAAGAAGAACCTGTTTGGAGATGAATGTGGGATCTCTATCTTCTCGATGAGCAGATAAGTTGCAGTCATTAAGAAAATGAAGGGCTTCATCCAGCTCATTTAAAAGCCTCTCAGAGAGCCCACTCTGATCCTGGTACAGCCCACAATCCAGCACCACCTCACGAGGCTGGGACGCATACCTGGACATAAACACACATGCAAGAAATATCTATAGTAAATGATACTTAAATGACAGATAAACATTTTTTTTTCAATCCTATTGTGTAAATTAGAGAGTTTTACAAGGAAAAACGTCTATTCTACAAGCTGCAACAAAAGCAAGAGTGGAAATCATAAACGTACCTATCCAGCACCACAAGATCAGTGGCAGTTTCTGCACTGCTCTGCAGAATCTTTTCCAGGTTCTGAATCTTCTCCTCCAAATCACAAGGGTCACATTTGCCATTTAAAATGGAAGCAGTCAGACCCAAAATGCGAGGACAGCCTGGGCAACCCTCACAAACCTGTAAAGAAGACTGGCACTGTTTAATAAAACATTATATGTAGATATGGTTATCACCAACTACCTTACAATATGATCTATCTAGCTTGAATTAAAGTTGGACAAAGCACTCAAAATTGACAGCAGTGATCAATCATGAAAACACGATTGTGTAATCCAATTTCCAGCATATGTGCTTTAAAATCATGAGGGGGAAAAAAACAACCATCTCAATGAATTACAGTTTCAGCACAACTCTAATTACAACCAATGTATTCTATTGCAGTGCTAAAATGTTAAGTGAATGCAACTTCCATAGCGATGGCCTGCATTTTTAAAATTAGTACGTGTTATAACTAAAATATGACTCTCCTCAGAAAAGATCACATATTCAGAGAAGTCAAAATATCTGCATTCAGCCAATCTTCAAATCTAAAGAGATGATTCACACAAAAAAAGCTAATTCTGTCATCATTTACTAACCTGCATGTCATTCCAAACCTGTATGAAATTCTTTCTTCTGCACTAAAGAAGATATTTTGAAGAACGTTGGGAACCAAACGACATTGAAGCCCATTGACTTCCACTGTATGGACACATTTCTCAAAATCATCATCTTTTATGTTCCACAGACATTCAACTTTGAAATGAGGGTGAGTAAATAATGACAGATTTTTTTTTTATTTTTGGGTGGATTATCCGTTTTACTCCGAACTTAGAATGTGCCAGAAAGTATTAGTCTTCAAAATAAAAATGTTCAGTTAGAATGCGTTTCAGATGAGCAACAATATCTTATCAGTGCCTACGTTCAATCTCCAGGACTAAATACATGCCCATTAATACTATAATAATGGATCGATACCTTTAGAGTGACACTTAGATGAGACCTTTATCATCCATCTCTTTACATTGACAGATGTGATTTCATAGCACCTGTTCAATGCTGTAACAGACTGCAATTTCACCTTCATTATTTCCCGATAAGGATGGTCTGTGATTGCAAGGTGGCATTCGTCAAAAACCAGCAGGTTGATTTTTGATAGTGGCAAGACTCCATTTTTTAACACGTGGAAGAAGATGCGGCACGTCATGACCAGCACCTGAAAGAACAGACATTATGGAAAAGACAGGGATGAGGACGGGAGAATATCACAGAAGAGAGACTGCCCAATGACACCTCATCAATCCGTTCAACAATTATATGAATAAATTCATAGGCACGTTAAATGGAAAATGTATAATCACACCTGATTCTCCATCATCTCTCTGTTCCACATCTCCTCGGGCCATGATGTCATGTCCTCTGACATGTAGTCGCCCACCTGGAGATCAGAGTGGGTTCTTACAGTAGATGCTTGCTGAACCACAGATGATGCTTCAATTGGGAAAAACGAACAAATCAGAATTAAGATTAATAAACATACAGAAAGAGTTTGATAATGTTTTAATATGTTTACATCACATGGCAGACTAGACAATTCCTCACCTGCATTCACCAGGAAAACTGTTCTCTTCCCATCCTCTCCACGGATTTGGTGGGAGAGTTCTTTGATTAGGAGTGCTGCGATAAAGGTCTTCCCTGAGCCAGTATTTAAGCAGACAATAGTATTGTGTTCAAGAGCTGCTTCAAGAAGTTCAACCTGGTGGGAAAATGCAATTAGGTGAAACTATTCAGCTATATGTTTTCTTTTTTTTTTTTTTTTTCAGCAAAGGTGCATTAATTTGATCAAAAGTGACAGTAAAGACATTTATAATGTTATCTTTCAAATAAATGTTGTTCTTTGGAATTTTCTATTCATCAAAGATTATTGAAATAAAATGTATAATGGATTCACAAAAATATTAAGCACAACTGCTTTCAACATTGGTAATAAAAAGAAATGTTCACTGTCAAATCAGCATAAAAATGAGCATTGCCAGGACAGGAATAAATAACATTTTAAAAATATATTAACAAATATATTTACTTTAAATTGTAATCATATTTCACAATCTTAAAGTTTTTACTGTATTTTTGATCAAATAAATGCAGTCTGGTCAGCATAAGAGACTTATTTAAAAAAATAAATAGCATGTATAAATAATATGAAAATATTTGTAGAAAGGAATTATAATACAAATGAATTGTGATTACTTTGATGTATGACTTCCATTTCATTTTCAATGAAACAAATAAGGAGATGTTTAGCAAAATGTCCAAGCTGCTCTTTTCCATACAATGGTCAATGGAAATACAATTCCATACAATCAAAAACATGGTAAAAAAACAGTCCATATGACCTGTGCACAATATTTCAAGTCTCCTAAGGCCATACAATAGCTTTGTGTGAGGAACAGAATGAAATCCTTATCTACTGAAAGTCACAATGGTTCACTGACATCCAACCTGGTGCAACACATCTTCACACATCAGGTTAAGTCGAAAGCTATAGCAGATGAGAAGATCTTCAGTGGTTAACAGCTTAAATTTCCATCTGTTCCTCACAAAAAGCTACAGTATGTCTTGAGAATATTTGGAATATAGGAAATGAGCTGTACTTGTATGCTAGTTTAATGGAGTTTTGTCGTCTTTTTTGCAGCTTTCCTCACCTGCTCACTGTATACTTTCATTGAGAGCAGCATAAACATTTTCAAAACTTCTCGTGTGTTTCCAAAAAAAAAAAGTCATATGGGATTGGAATGGCACAAAAGCACTCAGACTAGCCTGAGTATCAAAATCGAACCATTTCAAAAGACTTGCCTGATATTTCCTTGGTGTGTATATGTTGTCATGGATAGCTTCCTGTTGCCACGGGAGACCGAAGAAGGGCCCCATGGGTGAGGAGGCAGGGGTCACCAGCTGTAGGCCAGCCATGCTTAGAGACTGTTAAGCAGGGGACCTCCAGTCATCCAGTGTTTATCTCATTGCTTCATGGCCTTCTAATGCTTACTGCAAGAGACAGATCACGTAACATCAGCTCAGTGGGATGTCACAAACAACAGCGCTCAAATCAACTATGTCACGTTTCCGTTACATTCGGTGGTATTTTGAGCGACATGTTATTTAGCTCTGGTTAGAGGCCGTGTGAATCAGGAGGGTTACTGATTATAGATGAGAGTGTTTACTTACAGCTTGTACGTTTCCCACTTTGCTGTGTGACCAGGTCGCACTTATTCTGGGCTTCATTATCAGAGCTCTTAAAATCAGCTCATTCTTTTTCCTCTCGAGTTATTCTGCTAGGACAAACAGACAAACACTTAGAATCTATACAACTGTAAAGCAAACAGGTCAGAGATTATACTAACTAAGCACCTCACTACAGCGATACAACAAAAATTAATTCAAAAATATATAAAAGGAGGAAATGAGCCCTATTTATAGACAAGGCTGTTGGTACATTTTACTTTTGGCTATCAGAATAAGGCTAGCTCAACATTATATTTTTCTGGTCAAAAACCATCCACTTAATTAGGAAAAACCTGTCTGTCTGACATGTAAAGCAACTAACAGTGTTGGCCATTTAAAGCTAATCTGACATTCAGAGCTTTATTAAACAAATTTTGCTACATCAAAAGAACTTAATTACCTATTCTATTACAGTAATCATAATTTATATATGTCGAAGCAAAGTACACCTAATACACACTACTGTTCAAGTTTTGGGTGAGTAATTTTGTTTGTTTTAGTATTGTGACATATTATTAGATTCTAAATTATTATATTTTAAAGTTATAAAATAAATGTATAAACAATATTCAGCAAAACTGAAGTTTTAGCAGCCATAACTCTAGCTTTCAGTGTCACATGATCTTTCACAAATCAGATTTGGTGCTGAAGAAATATTTTTCAATGATGAAAACAGTTGATCTGCTTAATATTTTTGTGGAAACCATGACACATTTGTCTTGATAATTCTTTAATGAGCAGAAAGTTCAAAAGAGCAGCATTTCTTTTAAATCAAAATCTTTGTAACATTATACATGTCTCGCTAAATAAAACTATTAATTTCTTTAAAAAAAGTATCCCAAGAGTTTAAACAGTACTGTGTCTTCTAATAAACAATGTGGCTACTAAACAATAAATTAGGGCTGCATGATATATCGTTTCAGCATCGATATCGCGATGTGCGCATCCGCGATAGTCACATCGCAGGATGTGCGATGTTTAGTATAGGCTACTGATCGTTATATTTATACTGATTGTTTTCTTTGCTCACACACAGACACGGTGTCTACACCGGACGCGACAGCTGTACAGACGAGTAGCATTTACATTTAGTAGCAGAGCTACTGCACGTGATTTTCAGTGCTGGAAATCCGTTTGTCCTTTGTTGACAGTTCCGCGTCCTCTGGAGAGCGCAGGTCATGGTTGCTTAGAAA